CAATTGGTAAAAGATAAATCCACAATACCTTGACAGTGAGCTGGGAGTTTCATCATACAACATATAGTGGATATGTTAAACATAAGTGAGGGAGAAAAAGTAAGAGAGAGACCTTCTACATTGAAAGATCCACACGGATGTTGTCAAGCAATGCCAAACAGTTCACACAAGAAATGCACTTCAATACTCTGGGTTGTATCGATGCACTTGGCAATGTTAATATCTTAAACCAGCCATCGAAGGCAACATCAAAGGCACAGGATCTGGAATTCTTTTTGACATCAGACTAAATGGGAAGCGCATGTAGTGTGAGTTTGCCGGTGGTCCTAATTTGCGTCCATTGAATGATAATATCTTATGATTCTTCATCACAAAAATTTAGGACAGAGCTGGTTGCCTTATAGCAGTTCCACTTATATCAAGCTTCTCCAAATTTTCTACTTGTCTCAAATTCTCTGGCACATTTTCAATGTTAGAGCAACCGGAGAGATTTAAAATTTTGAGAGATTTGAACTCACTTATATTAATTGGAAGACTCACAAGATTCTTGCAGTCTTCCATATTCAACAAAACAACTCCCTTTAGAAGTTCAGCTGGGAATGGTAGTACTTTTATTCGAGTTTTGTCTAAGAGAAGCTCCAACAAACACTCCATACTCCCTACATTCTTTGGAAACGTCTTTAGATTGAAGCAACCCGAAAGTAAGTATTCTTAGAGATTTCATATCCATCTTTCCCGGAAGAGTTGTAAGATTCGTACAATCTTTTAGATTCAACAATATAAGCTTTTTGTGAATTAGCAAAGATGGGTGGATCTCACATAATCTTTTACATCCTTAACAAATCAACTCCTCAAGATTTTGGACACCTGTAAAGTCTGGTGTTTTCTTCAAGTTCTTCGAGTGACTAAAATTGATGACTTTCAACATGTTTAAAGGCTGTTGAAAACAAAAAGGAACCGAAAGATTCAATTTCCTAATTCACCAAAAGGACGGATATAAAACTTTATCAATAATGATTTACTTAAAACAAAATAAAATATAACATGATACTTAACTAAAATTCTTACTTTGGGTTTCCTTCCACAATTGCTCGATGCGACTACAACGCATTTGAAGTTCAACAATTTTGGGCAATTGCAAACTTGATGGCAAGCATTTTAAAGGGTATCCATACCAGTGAAGATGCCTTAAGTGGAAGTTGCACATTACAAATAATGATCAGTCTTAGGTAGGTCATCTGTGAAAAGACTTTGGCACTTACAGTTAAGTACTCCACATCTTTTTCGAAATTTATGCCTTCAACTACTTCAGTTCCTTAAAATGATAAGAGCAAGAGATAAGGATATACTGCAAAGATATATATGTTATGAGATACACGTTCAACAATGATTTTCTTGCTGTATTTCTTGTCAGCATATCATGGACATCTTCTGTTTTCTACAATCTACTACGCTTTCCAGGTTCTTCAAGAGACTCTCGCTTATCGATTCGTTGACTCATTTCTTGTAACAAATCATGCACCGACAAAATGTTCATGTCGGAAACAGTTATGAGAGAGTTGTCAACAAGAACACATATTCCAATAGTGGAATTAAAACCACAAGCATCTAATATTCTTGTTACATGATATTTCTTTTCTCTTTTAAAGAAACATGCAATATCAAGAAATATTTTATTTTCTGTTTCTGTTAGTCCCTCAAAACTTATTTGAAGACTGTGAAGAATCCATTCTTCATAATCTTCACCTAGTCTTTGTATTGCAGTTTCCCATTCATCAGTCGTTTTTCCAAACAAAAATGAGCCTAAAACTTCAAGAGCTAATGGAAGACCACAAAATGTTTAGAAACCTTCACATAATCTTTTGAAGGGTGACAGTTTTTGAAGGCTTTCAAACTAAAGAGTTGAAGCGCTTCATCATCTAGTTCCTCCGCCTTGTGCATCATATCCACTCCATGTGTCATCAACAAATGTTTATCTCTAGTTGTTATTATAATCCTACTACCTGGACCAAATCAATCATGCTTTCCGGTTAAATTGTTTAGTTGTTTTATATCATCCACATCATCTATAACAATTAGAACCTTTTTATGCTGCAACCTGCTTCTAATCATTTGGATTCCTTCATACACATCCCATATGTTAATATTTGTTTCTCTTAGTATTTGGGAAAGAAGTTGCTTTTGTAATTAAACAAGACCATTGTTTTTTCCTGATATTTCTCTAACATCAAAAAGGCCCACTTAGAACTGGACTCAAAAGACGTGAATGGAAATGGACGGTTTTCTAATATTATAAAGTATAATTAATTATTATCATAAGAAAAAGTACATGGCAGCAAAATTATAATGGAAAAAAAAAAACGATTTAAACTATTAATTCTTTGGCCCAGCATCATTACAAAGCCCAGTAACATACAGTAATTTCCTTGTTCATTACCTCTTTCTTGTGTTAAATAATGGAAGAAAATGAGATTTCACTTAATTTAGTTTTGGAAGGATATGTGTTTAATATTGAAGAATAAGGTTTAATGTTGAAATTAATTTATAGATTCAACAATTTAATATAATGTTTATTAATATGACAGCCCTTTAAACAAAAGTTCGGGCTTGTATACTTGCTCATTGTTAAAAGGCTTGGGCCCAAGGAAGTCTCAGCCCAAGCCCAAATATATTTTTGAAATATATTACTGTAAGGAGTATAATTTTATTATTTACATTCTATTGAATTATATAAAAAATTTCATATAAATGCAATAATATATAAGTGAAGGAGATAAAAATGAATAATGATATATAATCACATAATAATGATAGATTGATCTTTATATAAAAACATTTATTCAGATAATTTGTATGTGCAACGAAGGATTAATTTCATATACCTCTCATGAGACCAATTATTTTGAGGGTTTTCAAGATTGTCTTGAACCCTATTAAAATTATTAAGAACCTCGATATAAAAATTTCAAAAAACCTTTTAATAAGAAATTTTAAATGGTTTTCAAAATTAGTAAATGCTTTAAATGAAACGATCTTATTATATGATAACATAAATTAACCCATAAACATATACATAAATTAGATGAGAAAAAAAAAAAAAAAAAAAAAAACCATAAGGGGTGTTTGAAATTATGTTAAATCTCAATGAAAGATGAATGGAATATCCAAAGCAAAATATACTGATTTTAAAAGTCAGGGTGGTCTCTAAAATTAACCTTTTTGTTTTTCAATTTTCTTTTTAGAAAATGAGAGATACTATAATTCTGATCAGTATCTTATTTATTTATTAGAAAACAAGAGAAACTATATATAGTTTGATAATGAGATTTTATTAATTTGTAAAAAGTGACTTAATGTGGTTCTAGCTAATTAGCAAGAAATTGACCGTTTAAAGTTCTTCAAAGACTAATTAACTTGATTAATTGATGGAACCACCTTTTTATCTAATTAGTAATTACAGTTCAAATGTTGAAGAATAAGGTATAATGTTCTAGGGTCATTGGAGCTATTACTCGATTGGTAGTTTTAAAGTCTCGAATGATTAGTTGAGATGCATACAAGTTGGTTTGAACACCTCCAGTCATAAAAAAAATCAATACTCTATAATATGTTGGTTGATGGCGAGTAAAGTCAACAAATTTTATTAATGTTTAATAATAAAAAATATTTTATCAACCTACTTTGAATTACCCATGACTCAAATTACAGTATAGGATCAAATGACATGCATTAAAAATCCTTTCGAATTAAGATTAAATAAATAGCTTGACATGGCCTCATTTTCTAATTAAGATTTAAATCATTTTGCTATTGATTTTTTTTAAGTTGATTTCTAAGAACACATACCGAGGGCATCTTAATTGATGATGGTAATTAGAAAGATTAGGGGAAAGTATGAATTTTTTAAAGTGTTTATTCTTTAGTATTGATGGGTTTTTATAGTTTGATCGCTAAAAAATGAAAAATTACAGTTAGTTGTATAGAATAAATAAAGAAGACTACAAGAGGGTGGTTGATCATATGGAAATGGAAAATAAAAGAAGAAAGTAAAATATAAATTTTACATAACAAACAAGTTTTCTTCATGTCGACTCATGTAAGTATTGAAGAATAAATGGTAAAGTTGAAATTAATGTAAGAATATCTAAAATGTATAGTGAAGTGGGTTTGAGTTTGAGTCCCACTATTTCCCTCTTTAACCTCCATCTTCAATTTTAAGTGAGAATATAATTATAACAAAAAAGTTATTATTCTCTATAATTTTACTTGGAAGCTTCATATTTATGGTTATAAAAAAATTAAAGGAATTTTAATTCAATTAGAATTAACAATAGAGTATAAGACAAATTTAATTACTATTGTTATCATATAATTATGAAATAATTTATTTATAAAATTCCAATCTCAAAACTCTTACAATTATGTAATCGCTTCTAATCCCATATTAATAGAAAAAAAAAAAACCCAATTTCCTACCCATTAAAACAAAAATTTGATATCATAAATTCTCATTGAGAAAATTTTGTAGTTTATTGTTAATTTTAATTTATTTAAATTTACTTTTGATTTTTTAAATCTACCAATATAAAGTTTTGAAAGGAAAAGAAGAATTTTTTTTTTATTGCAATTATATCTTTATTTAAAATTGAAGATGGGGTTAAGGATGAAAATAGTAGGGGCTGAAATCCAGATGTAAATCATAATTTAAAATTTTAACAAAAAGTCAGGATTAATAATGGGCTTAGCCCAAGGGCCTCTCGGCCCAAGCCCACAAAATTGTAAATGTGCAGCAAAAGGATGAATGTACATGTTAACATTTTCCATTTGATGAGCTTTCTTAATTTCATCAAGTAATCATTTGATGAGCCACATATCAAAATAAATGAAATTATTAGGCATGTAATTTCAACCTACATAAAAACATATAGCAGGTAAAACAATCCAACAATTGCTATATATAGCCTATTAGAGTGAACCATAAGGTAACATTCACATAATTTCTTTCATAATAGAGATGTCATGTCATCATCTGAAATTCAGAATTATTTAAACAACTAAATTAGAAAGAGTCTTTCAATCACATCCACTTCAACCAAAGATTCCACCATCCATATCAATTTCAGGAACGACCTGCTAAGAGCTCAGCATGAAGGCGGCTGTGATTCATTAAATATACATAAATAAATAAAAATTTTTAAAGTATCTTGAAACATTTGATTATGTTAATTATTAAAAATATAAAAAGACTTCTGAAAGCGAGGAATATATGTGCTTACTTGTTCATTACCCTTCAAGGTGATCAAGAGAATTCTGAGTTTTTCTGCCTTTTGGGTTGTGGTTCCTCATCGATTCCACTAGTTTCTGCGCCATCATATTCAACAAGGCTTCGCTTAGTTGCAGCAGCATCCATTTCTGATGTAACAAAATCTTGGTGATATTCAATCAAATTATTCCCAGAAATAGAGCTACTACTGCATTGTTCTGTTGGATAGTCAAACTCGACCAATTCTTCTTCATATATCGGATGGGCCGCACACCTACTCACAGTCACTGCTAGGCACTCTCGTGTCTTAAATTCAAACCCAAAATATTTATGCGGCACCATGTCGAAGTAGCAGATTGGGATATAGAGTAGCCAAAGATGGTCTGAAACTGTACCGTAGACAAATATATCTTCAGGTATAACACACGAATGGAAAGGATTTCTCCCTTCTTGATTGCCTTGATAACGAATGCAAGCATTATTATTGAGGGCAGGAAAATGCTTCCGGGTAAAAAGAACAGCGGTGACAAAGAATCCCTTCTACTTCATGTCTGGAAGACATTTTATTCTTATTGAAGAACCCTCACTCTGATGGCTGAACCACTTCGGAACTTCACTTCCAGGAATAAAAATATTGGTAACGTCAGCTGTTGAATTGGGCATTTCCTGTAAACAATAAAAATAGAAGATAAGCAAAATCTTACATTGAATATCTTTAACGCAAGAGAAAGAGGGAGAGACAAAAAGGGGGAAAAGGAAAAGAAGGAGACCTTTGGTGTTGATGCCACACTGGTTTTGTAGTCACTCAATTTCAAGCAATTCACACAAGAAGTGTATTGTACACGATATGGTGTTATGCATAATGCATTTGGAAATCTTTCTAGTGAAGTACAATGATCTACAAGAAGGCAATTTAAATTCGGTGGAAGTTCTGGCAATGATTGAAGCCCATGACAATTATCCAAACAAAGTTCCATAAGCTTAGGAAGACGATTGATGCTGCTAGGAAGTGACACAAAATTGTTCTTTCCTAAATGTAGCTTTTGCAATGAAACTAAGTTGCCAACTTCACTGGGGATTGGTCCTAGATTGCAGTCACTGAGATCTAAGTCTGTCAATGATGGCAAACCTGACAGTGAAGGCAACTTCAAAGTGATGATGGGATCTGATCTTCGACCTGACATCAAATTGAATGGGAAAGGCAAATACCATGAGCTTGATGGCGGTCCTTTGCAGCCGCGAAAAGATAACTCCTTAAGATTCTTCATGAAAAAAATGGAGGACGTTGGTCGCCTTATAGCAGTTCCACTTACATCAAGCTTCTCCAAATTTTCTACTTGCCCCAAATTCTCTGGTACATTTTCAAGTTTGAAGCAACCAGAGATTGACAGAGTTTTGAGAGATTTCAAATCATTTATATTTGTTGGAAGAGTCACAAGATTCTTGCAGTCTTCCATACTCAACAAAACAATTCCCTTTAGATGTTCAACTGGGAATGGTAATTCTTTAATCGGAGTTCTGTCTAAACAAAGCTCCACTAGAAATTCCATACTTCGTAGAATCTGTGGAAACGTCTTCAACTTCAAGCAACCAGAAAGTACAAGTATTTTCAGAGCTTCCATATCAATCTTTCTTGGAAGAGTTGTAAGACTTGTACAATCTCTGAGATTCAGCAATACAAGCTTTTTGTGAAATAGTAAAGATGGGTGAATCTCTTGAGTCCTGTACGTCCTTCAAGAATTAACTCCTCGAGATACGGGACTTTTGTAAAGTCTGGCGTCTTGTTCAAGTTCTTGGAGTGACTGAGACAGATGACTTTCAACTTGTCTAGAGGCTATTGAAACAGAAAAGACAATGAATTAATGTAAAAATTTATCAATGATGATCCGAAGATGTTGCACGATAATTTAATCTTAAGAGCTCACCCATTACTTAAGCTTTTAAGTGGGCTGATAATTTAATATGGTATCAAAGTTAAAAGTCTAAAATTCAAACCCTTTCATTCAGCTAGATAAAAGACAATTAAAAAAAAAAAAAAAAAAAAAACCAAGTTTTATATGAAAGGACCTTCTAGACTAAAATAATTTTTGAGCCTTTACCTATTAACTTAACAACAATATATAACGGCTAAAGCACATATTCATGACTGAGTCTTACTTGTATGATTTCCTTCCACAACTGTTCGATGCCACTATAATGCATTATAAGCTCAACAGTTTTATCCAATAGCAAACTTGATGGCAATGATTTTAAAGAATATCCATTCCATTCAAGGAATGATAATTCGTTTGAAAGGTATTCAAGGCCTTGGGGGAGTTGGACGATATGGATTTTGAGAAGTCTTAGCTTGATCATCTTCGAAAACACTTTAGCATTGACACTCAATTGCGCCTTGTTGAAGTGAAGACTGAAAAACGATGCTGCTTTAATATTAAATGAAACACAGAGTTTTTGGCTTGAATTTATCTGTGCATCCTGTCCATCCAAGCTGTGCAGATCCAAAGGCTGAAGACATGTCAAAAAGTCAGCAGTATAAAAGAGGGGAATGGTTCACTGTACATCAGATCTGATTTTTGCATTTTTCTGCAGTTCGTTCTTCAGTTCTTGATTGATTTTTCTGCACTTTTTAGAATCATTGTAACTAGTAGATTGATTAGCGATTGTTAGTTAATCTGAGGGTAGTTTTACTCTTGTGGCTTGAGGATTCCAGGTGAGAGTTCTTGGGTGAGTTACGGGTTGATTCTTGGGTATAATTTGAGAGGTTTTGATCTGGTTGTGTTGGATCTTGTACTGTATTGATATTATTCAGATTAGTAGTGCTGTGAGCTCTCCATTTTCGGAGCTCAATGTGGACGTAGATTATCCAAATAGGATAATCGAACCACGGTAAAAATCCTGCGTTTCTTGTGTGGATGTTTTGTGTAATCTGTGTGGAGTTGAAATCTGGTTTATGTTTGTGTTTGTTGGCTCAGTATAACAGTGGTATCAGAGCTATTAGACAATAAGCTTGATCGATTTGGAGACTGCTCAGTGACTTAGGGTTTCTAAAAAATTAGGGTTTGTCTAAAATTTGGGGGCTTTTTTCAAATTAAGGCTTCCCTTAGCAATCTTGAGTCCTAGTTTACAGATTCGAGTGGTAAATTCACTGATTGAGGAAATCTTGGTGAAGATTCAAGTTTGAGTCTTAGTAATTCATTCAAGATTTACATTGTCAGTTCGGTCTAGGGTTTCTTGAGTCAGTATCAAATTGTTCAAACACAAAGATGTCAACTACACGATTAGAAATCACTCAGTATGATGGCAAGATAGATTTTGGGAGTTGGAAAAAGAAAATGAAGGCACTGCTGTCCCACAACAAGGTGGGAATTGCCCTGGAGAAAGACGAAACCAAATGGCCAGAAGAGAAGCTGAAGAAGAAGGATGAAATCAATGAGGAAGCGTACAATGGGGTAAACTCGAAACTTTATATTCTTTATAGTCAGCACCTAACCTTGCTTTTTTAAAGGGTGCTTTATTTTCGTACAAAATGGATGGTTCTAAATCTGTTGAGGATAATTTAGATGAATTCCTTAAGATGACTTTAATTCTTAATGGTACTGATCAGGAACTAGGTGACACTAGTTTAGCAATGATCTTATTAAATTCCTTAACTGAAGACTACATAGTTGTAAAGAATGCCCTTCAGTATTCAGGTGACAAATCGTGCATCGACAATTCGTTGTCATTTCAAATAGTTAAGAGAGATTTATCAACAAGAACACTTATTCCAATAATTGGATCAAAACCACAAGAGTCTAGTATTCTTGTCACATGATCTTTATTTTTTCCTTTAAAGAAACATGCAACATCAAGAAATATTTTCTTCTCTGATTCATTTAACCCATCAAAACTAATTTGAAGAATATCAAGAATTATTTTTTCAGAATCTCTACCTAATCGTTGTAATGCACTTTCCCATTCATCAATCGTTCTACCAAACAAAAAGGAGCCTAAAACTTCAAGAGCTAATGGAAGACCACTAGCATACTTTAAAACATGTTTGGACAACTTGCTCATATTCTTCTGGAGGCTGATAATTTTTGAAGGCTTTCAAACTGAATAGTTGAAGAGCTTCTTCGTCAGCTAATTTCTCAGCCTCGTATATGAAATCCACTCCATGTGTCATCAGAAGATGCTTATCTCTTGTTGTTATTATAATCCTACTACCACGACCAAACCAATCATGTTTTCCAGTTAATTCATTTAGTTGGTTTATATTATCCACATCATCTATAACAATGAGAATTTTAAAATTCCGCAACCTACTTCTTATCATTTTGATTCCTTCATGGACATTCCACACTTTAATTTTCCTTTCCCTTAGGATGTTGGAAATAAGTTGCTCTTGTAAACAAACAAGACCACTTTTCTCTGAAATTTCTCTAACGTTAGCAAGAAAACTACTACCTTCAAATTCACATGAGATCAAGTCATAAATAGCTCTTGCAATTGTTGTCTTGCCTATTCCTCCCATTCTACAAATCCCTATCATTCGAACTTCATTAGAACTTGTATTCATAAGCCTTAAAAGTCTTGTTATACGTGAATTTAATCCCACAAGGTCCTCATGAGTCCTCAATGTTGTATGACTTAGTCTTCTTAATATCTCGTTGACAATTTCTTTAATAAATTTTGACTCAGGTCTGCAAAAATGGAAAAGAACATAAAAGATATGTCTTTTAATACCAACACAAACAAGTTAATAAATAATAAAAAAACACAAGCACGTAATTAAAGGAAAAATAACAGTAACTAATTAATCAACACTTCCTTTGACGAAATTGGACTGGCCAGATTGGTACATGACCAGCTAGATCTGGTCAGTTGTGCATCGTTCTGGCTACTACCGTTGACGCTAGCAGTGGTGGTGGGTGGCTGGTAGTGGCTTGGGGTGGGTGGGGGTGATTTGGTTAGAAATTAAACTTTTATGTAGCTGGGGTGTTTTAGCAAAATCTAAGATGTAGGGGGTTAAAAGAAATGATTCAAAAAATAATATTGTATAAATATTTAAAAAGAAGGGCAATTTAGTATTTTATATAATATACCTACCAATTTATTCCTTCCAACCAAACATATCAATATAAAATACCTACTAATTTATTCCAATCAACCAAAGACACTCCCCTAAGCATTATTCATAATCTTCAATGTAATTTATCTTTCCATTAATATAACATTTCCTGAACCAAACACATCCTAAGAGAACATATTACAATAAAGAAGACAAATTATTACCTATCCTTTAGACACCATCCAGAGAGATTGGCCACCTCTATCAAAGCAGCTCTCCACTTTTGCACCTTTTCCATATTCTCCCTAAATGTTTCTTCATGTTTAGAAAATGCCTCTTGAAAAGTTCCTGTTTGCTTCCTTACTACAGATGGATCCACATCATAGAAAATTGGAAAAACCGTATGTTTCATTGTCATCATGCATTGAAAAATCTTAACGAGTTCATTCAAGCACCAAGTGGAAGAAGCATAATTTCTTGATGAAACAATAATCGATATTCTTGATTCTTCAATTGCTTTATAGAGTTCAAGCGAAGTGGATTTTCCCTTCTCAAGTTCTATGTCATCCTTGAAAACAGTAATTCCACTTTTCTTTAAAGCAACGTGCAGATGATCTGTGAAGTTGTTACGGGTGTCTTCACCTCTAAAGCTTAGGAAGACATCATATTTCCACATAGAGGAAAAAGTATGGGAAAAGGCTCCTTCGATGCTCATGAAGCCTGCCAATGTATTTAGATTTCCTTTAAAAGTGGAAAATGTAAGAAATCAATAACTTCTTGCTTGAGAAAATTAATCGAGGGAACCTAATATTTGGTCTTGACACACTTGATTAGGTACTTTTAAACAAAAAAAAAAGAGTAAAGATTTATGGAGTAATATATTTAGTTTTCTCTCATCCAACTAAGCACAACCATGATTTGTTGATTTAAACAGACATATATAACAAGATATTATCGGAAAAACATACAAATGTCTCAAATACAATCCTAGACACGTTTTAATGATGTAAACTCCTCAAGGCATCTCTAGTGCACCATAAATCCCCTAGGGTATACCTAATAGTCCTAAACACTTTCTCGTTAGTCATTTTGTTAAGAGTTTCACCCCCACCCCCAAAGAGAGATATAAATTTGGCCCATCCAGATCCAATCAACGATCAAAGAGAGGCTAAAATTAAGTCAACCATGTTTTGGATGCATCCTAAAACACTTGCCTGCCAATAATTTGATAATTGAAAGTAGTTTCATTTACCAAAAAGAAATTACTGCACATATCTTGAGGAAAACAATTAAGAATCAAGATTATATATAGTTAGATATTAATCTTCAAAGACAAATTATTAGAATTAGCTGTTAATCAAGATTAATCAAAAATTGCAGACACTTACATAAAAAAGAGAGAAACAGAAAGAAAGAAGATGGGGCTACCTGTACTGAGTTCTTCCTACAGAAGTTATAGTTCTGCCTCAATTTCAAGGGGATTATGAGGATTAAACAAGATTGATCAACAATTGAGAAACTTACATACAAAAGAGAGAGAAAGAGAAAGAAAGAAGATGAGGCTACCTGTACTGAGTTCTTCCTACAGAAGTTACAGTTCTGCCTCAATTTGAAGGGGATTATGAGGACTCTTTTTGTGTTTCGAAGTGAAGATCAATCTGCATTATATCTCCTCTTTTGTAGCAAGTAATAGTCAACAGACTTTTGTAATGTTTAGTCAAGTAAAAAATGTATTTTATCGAACTAACATTTATAAACAAACAAACAAGACTGAATTCGATAATATGTTAGGTCCGTTTGTTTCATTATTTATCCATATTCTATCCCTATATCCCTATATATTTTGTCCTATATTTTTAAAATATAATTGAACTAAAAAACATCTATTCTATGAAATGCTGACACATAAAATCATTTCAACTTAACAAAATTTAAATATCATAAAAATAAAAAGATAAAAAATTAATATAGAAGTTTTTGGATTTTTATTTTTATTAGATTTTAAAATTTTAGAATTCAAACCCTTTTCTATTTTATTTAGTTCGTTTTTTTTTTTTTAAATTTTAGAATTCAAAAACTAAAAAAATGAATAAATATTCAAGGGTTTTTAATGACGTTTCATTTGTCGTTAAAGTTAACACCATTGAATGTCCTTAAACTGAAGAATTTGAAACTTGTATCATTTTTTTTAACAATTCAATAAATCATTATACCTAAATTGATAATCTCCTCAACTTAAATATCAGTTCAAAACTTGTCAAATTATCATTTATAAACCAAACCTCGTCAAAAAAATATATTAACCAAACCAGTTTCATGAAAATTACAATAACAACCTAAAACGTTAATTCATTAACCTAAACACAGAGAAGTGAAGGACATTTTTTTTTCTTTTAATAAATTAGTGATAAGTTCAAATTTTGCCGGCAAATGCCTGTTGTGCATTAGGTTTCTCCTCATATTTCCCAAAACACCGCTGTTTTATTTCTTAGTTTACATCTCTCTCTCCACACCTCCAACCAAAAGGAGTTCCCCAGTAGCTTCTTCAAGCTAAACCTGAACATCATGAAGTTCGTCGTCAAAGCATGGAGCAACGGCAAAGCCCGGACGGGGTTACTCCAGTTGAGCAACTGTCCCAACTCCATCGAAACGCCGTCGCTTCTCCTCTCCACACGCAAAGGCCTCCCGCTCTTTATCTTGCCTGACCTCCTTCCCTCTCTTCCTTCTCCTGATTCTCATCTTTTGCAGTTTAGCCCCCTTCATTTGTGAGTATTTACTTCGATACCCTATTGTTCTTTTTGCGAGAAGAGTGCACATTTGTTGTTTGCGGGTGTGTTCTGGCATACCTTTTTTCGGATTTTTTGAGGAAATGCGTATAACGTGTTTGTGTTTTGGTTTGTGAGAATTTTGTTGCTTATAAACGATGTGGTGAACTTGTTGGATTGGCTGTTAAAGATGACACAGTGGGAAGCTTTTGAGGTCCATCTGTGAAGAATGAGTCCCACAAGACAAGAGTGAACAAGTGAAGCAGTGTTTTGCCGGGTTCATTGTTTATTAGTTAAGGCATTTGGGTAATTAAGATTGTGTTCTGTGTCATATATATCAGGAATGTTTGTTGGAAAGAAATGTGAAATTAGGTAGTACTACAGTGTTAGGTGATTTTTTGCTTCCTAGAATTTTATTGATTCTTTGCATTTGAGTTGAAAAATGGAGAGGCACGTAGCTGTGCAACTACAAATAATCTGATCCACAAATTTACTACTCTTTGATCCGCAAATTAAAGCTCTCAGGGCATGCATTTCAAATTAATCATAAATACATATAAAAAAAAAATAAATGTCTAACAAATGTTAAATGTTAAAAGTAAAAAATATAGGTATCCGTACTTTATGTTAAAAGAGATTAAAAAATAATAATAAAACAAAATCCCACATTTATATGTTGTCAAAGACTAGAGAAATTAAAAAAAAAAAAAAATTATCTAAGTTCATAATTATAATTGGAAACAATATCAAACAAACCAGTTTGATTGAAAAAGTACTCTTCAACATATACTCTTTGACCTAACCTCTCTCTTTCTAGCCGCATAATAAACTCTTTAATCACTGGAATTAATTATACATAAGAGTCTTGTGTGTTGGAAAAAGGAGATTGATGACTATGACTAACTACTTATAAAACAATTGCGGTGATGCATCACACATTAACTAAACATACATTCAAATCCAACAACTATGAATTAAATTTTCATTTTATTAAGTATAATTCAGGGGTTTAATTGTATTCTTTAAGGGCTAATTGATCCCCTTATCTATTTCTTAATAAAATTTTCTTCTCACCTTTTGGTTACTAACAAGTTCCATCCATTCGTAATATAATTTCACCAACTTGAACGGTTGAAATATTATTTTTACTCTTATTACTCATTATCAAAATGATACCGTGAAAAAGTGTTTTACACCAACGCCAATGCCAATCCCGATGCTAGAAAATAACGATAGCGTCAGCGTAAATTTAAGATGTCAATGTCTGCCACATCGGTGTATTGTGGTTCCTCCTATGCAAGCAAAATGCTTCTGAAGAATACCACTTATCAAAAGAATTCTGATGCTATATGATTTCCAAACAATCTACCTATCCAAAACCTTCTCCAATAACACGAAACACAAAATCATAAACTTATTCTTCCACCATCTCATTCCTCATAATGTTTCTAACTTATTAAAATCATAAACCCGATAACAAAGACAAAGAACAATATAAAAGAATTACAAATATCAAATGACAAATCCAAAATCATTAAAAATAAATACATTGTCAACTCATACGTTGAGGAGAGGGTGGTTGCACTCACACTGCCAATCGTGGCCAACCACGCTACCAGGCCGCAATCTACCCGGGGAGATCACGCCCAACCGTGGCCAATTTGCAATCTAGCCAGGCCACAGTTGGTGGCCAAACATGTGATAGAGCTTACTTTTTGTAATTCTTCTAATTTTTCTACAATTTTGTTGCATTTTGAGCATTAGGGGTTGACTTTTAGAAAATTTAAAGGAATTTTAGTGAGAGATATTCGGGCCGGTTTGATTAATTTAGATTCGTGTGTTTAATGTTATATATGTTAGATAATATGACATGAATACTCTTTTACAGTTAATTTTACATTTAAATGTAAAAAATGATACTGATATTGTTAGTTTCTGAAACCCAAAAGGTAAATCATTTTTAAGGCATAGATATTTGGTCATTATTCTCTCTTTTTTTTTTTTTTAATTATCTAAAGGTTGAACCAATCTGAGTTTTGTATTACATTTTGTAGGATTTAGATTCTACTTTTAGGTATACAATTCTAATTTAAAACATAAATAGGAACCTCCGTCTCGCAAATGAGATCTTTAATATCATAATATTTTATGAAAAGGTTTCATAAAAAAATTTTAGAAATGATTTCAAAGTAAACAACATGTTTCCCACCCAGGTTTAGCAAAATTATAAGTGGATCCACTGGTTTTATTATTCCAAATTCCTACTCTTAAAGTAATGCCGTTGGCTAATAGTCATATACACTGTATCGTGGAGTATGTTAGCATGCAAAGTGCGTCTGCACTTTCTTTAGCAGGAGACAAGCTCACATTAGTAAGAGTGGCTCACATTAGCGCAACATTCAAGACGACGATTTTTGGCTTCTTCCAATCATATTCCAAGTCTATCACTTTCGAGACCACTGTTGGACTCCCCCAATGTTCTCTACAAAATTATACCTTCTTTTTGTTATGCAACGGAAACATAAACTCTAACGCTAGCTATTGAATATAATATAACAAGTAGTAAAGCATAAATAAATAACCAAATTAAATGCAAAAATAAAGAATACCAGGAATTAACGAGATTCGGTATTGAAACCTAGGTCCTCGGGTGCTGCAAAAGAAAACTCCACTATCTCCAAACAATATTACAAACTTTTGGGCAATACAACAAATACCCAAAACAAAGGGGAGATACAACAAACTATTGCAAACTAAGGGTCCTTAAGAAAGAACCCTAAACAAAAGAAGTATAATGGAATTACATCTTGGGATACAAATAACAATGATTTAGGTCCTCATATATAGGCCCCAAAAGTTTCCCACTTTTCATTCCCAAGCATGTGGGAAAACTAACATTTTGGCCTATTACTATAAGTCCCTAAACCTTTTTCCATTATCACTTCTACCCCCATGTGATTTGCTAAATGAGCCATTTTTCCAACACATTGCCAACCTCACTTATCGTTTCCAACCACCTCCATTTTTGCCACTTTGTGAGATTGGGTTACTTCTTCAAGCTTTTTCCAATTGATTTGGGTACAACCGATCTCTCCAGACTTCACCACCAGCTTCTTTGCCAGCAGCTGATTGTTTTGATGTTTTTTTTTGGCCGTTGCTGCGACTCCTCAATCGCTGGAAATCGAGCCCAAATTAGTGTCTATAACTTGCTTAATTAAAGTCCTCATCCAGCCAAGCCAACCCCATTACCACCAAATTAACGACAATACTTTAAGAGGAGGAATCTGAAATAAATGAAACAGAGATATCTAACTTGTCATTTCGATAAAGGGGAACGACTTACACATACCCAAAGTTTCTGTAAAGACAAAGTGGTACCCAAAAGGTTTGGAAATGACAAACACCCACTTTTCGTCATCTTCTGTTAGGAAATTTAAAGATAAAAATTGTGAAAGACAAATACTCACTGATCTCTATTCCCAACGCGTGCCACACAGGGCCAATGCCACTGTTTATCACCGAACTTCGGTGAAAAATGTTAATTTGGTCAAAAAATCAATCTGAAACAAGAGGTGTTAGTAAACGATCCATTGAGGTAGCAAAAAACAAAAATTAATTACAACACGAATTGTTACTATAGAACCCAAATCAGGGCACAGAAATTAGTTTATGCAAAACAAGAATCAGCAGAATATAATCTAGAGTTTAAGAAACCATACGCAGTTTGAAGGCTCCTCTAACTTGTCTTTGAATGTATTCGCTATCGACCCAAGTGTTGGATCGAACCGACGT